TTTGACACCCTTTTCCTTGTCAGTCACATTTCTACACGGAAGGAAGCTCTGTAAGCACCTACAGTCTGCTTTCCCATTTCCCCAGAAAAATGGACTGCTAAGAGTAGTAATACATCACCACACTGATTCCATCTACTGTCCTGACACAATTTTCTTTCCTCTGCCACGCAGGCAAGGGGCTTCACCAAAACAGCTACACCACCAAATAACTACAAGAAGTCATTTACCACCAGGTGGTGCTGCTAAACACAATTTTCCACGTCCTTTTAATCCCTGTGGGAGCGAAGTAACCTAAAGATCTACCCAAATACTGCTTTAAACTTGTTCAGTTTTGACAAGAAGCTGTTCTCTTTGGGGAGGAGAGAGCTGCAGAGCATCCTCTCTGCTTGCGTTCCTGAGAAGAATCAATGCCAAAGTGCCTGGTACAGCAGCATTTTTGAATGCAAAGATTATGACCATCACTGTCACAAAGTAAATGTGCTGTGCAGGAAAATATGCAAATAAATGCAGACGGTTTTTCTTTGACTTCGTGTCAGAAGGGAAAACATCCTCACCAAGTCTCAAATCATGACTTTCCATGGACATTCTTGCAAGTTTTTTGGCTATAGTATCATAAATCATCTGCCAAGTCAAGGCAGTGTGCAGCGTGCAGGCATTACCTTCTCTTGGTCAGAGGGTGAGGGGTTATAATRAGTTTGAATCATGAATTTTGGAAAAAAGGTAATAAAATAAAAGATTTGTTAATAATTTGCCCTACCCATATAGCAGCATTCCAGGTAGATGTGATTTAAATGGAATAAATTTTCTAGAGAAAGGACAGATTGCAATTTTTTGAATCTGAATTCTTATGTGATTCCTTTAGTTATTCATGCTAAATAATGTGCCTGAGAGTTAAAAAGCAATATAATCTCAGCATTACAGAATAAATCTCAGGTTTACCCCCCAAGCTCTTTGTACCTTTCAAATATCAAATTGCAAGGAGCTATCATTAGATCTGAAGTATGTGCCACTATCACATGCAATGAGAAATATTTTTTCAAACACAGTGACAAATATTAATGAATTCCTCTGTGTCCTTGCTTGGGTTTTTTTGTTATTGTTAATTAATTGGTGCTTCAAAATGTACTGGCTCATTTGTRCATTTCTTGAGCTAATGTTTTCACAGCAGGGTAACTGTTTATTGCTTGAATCTGTGTTTTCCATATTACCATTGGCTAGGAGCAGTGGGACATTATGTAAAAAAAATAAAATCTATTTCTAGAGATCTTTTCTCACAGAAAARGATTGAGAGACATTAAAAGACATGCTTTTATGCCATACTTAATACTTTGAA